TGAGGTATGAAGGTGTGGAGGATTACCATGGCAAGAGGAGGAAGGATGAGGAATATCTTAGGAGGGAGCATATTGACAAAGAAGAAATTCTTCATGGCTACAGGGAAAATGCTAGTCGGCGCAGGAGAGAAAGAGATGAAGCTTTGGATCCAAGAAAGAGGGATGACCTGCAAAGAACTAGAGATAACCCTGATGATCAATATGCTGCTAGGCAGAAAGATGAGGCATGGGTATTGAGGGAGAGGGGTGATAGGCAGAGAGATAGGGAGGATTGGCATCGGATGAAACAATCCCATGAAGAACTCCTACCTAAGCGTGAGAGAGAAGAAGGGCGGAGTTCTGTAAGAAGTGGACGAGGAGCTGAAGAAAAAGCATGGGTTGGTCATGTTAGGGCTAAAGATGAACATAAACTTTCTGAGAAGGAATACCAATCCAGAGAAGCAATGCGTCACAATGATCAATTGAAGAGAAGGGACCGAATTCAGGATGAAAGTCCACATCATAAGGGCCGTGACGATGTGTCTGTGCGCGGAAATCAATATACTACTGAGGAAAGGCGATCTAGGCAGGAAAGGTCAAGTAGTCGTAGTGATCGTGTTGCTAATGCTTCAGATAACCAAAAAGTTAAGCATAGAGAAGGCTCAAGGAAAAGCAAAGAACGTGATGTTAGTGACCCTAATAGTTTAGGCGTGTCCAAGAGAAATCAAGAAAATCAAAGTGGTCCAACCAATGAGAAGGTATGCACACTTGCATGTAGAACGTGAAACTATAAGGAGAGTAAAACAATCTTTTTACATGAAATTAAGTATTCTCTATATGTGACTCTTAGAATCACAAAGGTCTAGAATTATGTTGAGTTTGCAATTTACTGACCGGTAATATTATAAGTGTTGTTTCGAGCTACATAATGTATGCAATGGCACTCTTGACCATGAATAACTAACTAGCTTTTTCATTTTCATTATTCATCCCCATTTTCATATGTTGGGAGGAGGTAGAAATTCAAGACATATGCCCTTTCAAGGCATGATTTTCTTTTTTTTTTTTGGTCTGACTAGGATTGCCAACTTTGAAGATTCAACATCTGGAAAGTAGTTAGGTGGCTTTTAAACATAATGTATATTGAGGTTTATTAAATCCATCCATTGTTAATTGGAATTTACTACATACTCCATTATGGGATCCATTCTTAAGTATCTTGACAGTTAATGACAAGCTTTTTTCTTAAATTTATTGTGTATAATCATGTTGTTTATCTTGATTTTTGGATGAGAGATTGCTTTTGTGATCCTATTCGATTGCACTAAAAATATCATCTTTGTGACTGGTGATTGGAAGAAATCTTGTTATTATAATATATATTTTAGTCTTGATTTCTCAGAAGAGTATTATTATCATTATTACTACAGGTGCTGTTTTTTTATTCATAAGTAACTAGAGTTGATTAAAGAGGACTGTGTTGACCATTTGGTAATTGGGATAAGCCGTGCTGAAACTTGTGGCATGTATTAACAAATCAAACGTGTTAGTTCTTGGTTGTTACCTGGAAATAATTTTCTACTTAGGAGATACCATAAAATGCCGTTGCTAGAAATTTATAATGGAGCATCCGATCTTATATAAAAATATCAGTGTTATCTTTTTATCAATGTAGATGATTTTCCCTGACAAGGCTTGTTTTGTTTATTTGCCTGCAATTGAATCTAAGAATCACTTTTGAATTGAGTTCACAATTAATTGCATTTAGCGGATGTTAATATTGTTAGTAGTAAGGTCTACAGAATTTAGAGTGTATCTAAAATTCAAAATTTCAGTCTTGTATTTATAAAACAAATAGTACTATTAGTGTAATTTGACGAAATATTCTTCTAATCACACTTCATTTTTATTCTCATGAGAATTGGTGGGAAAAAGTATATTCACAAGGTAACATTGGAAAGTTATATTCTAACCCAGTTATCTCTTATCTGTTATATTATCACATTGGTGAGTATAATGAATTGAAGCTCGCATACATAATTGTAAAATCATGGAATCCTGTGAGGAATATTGTGATCTTAGCAACCCTGAGTAGCAGGGATCTTTTTGAGACCTCACTCACTAGGAAAAATTGATTTTTATTTTAACTACATTTTTCCATAGACTGTCCCTGTCTCCTGAACAATAAAGTTATTGTGGAATGCTCTTCGATGTGTTGTTCTGCCTGTTGCTGATGTTGGAAAACTATGATCGTTCATTAGATGTATGCTCTTGTTTTCTATAATTGTTAGTTTCTATTTGTGAAGGGCTTGAAAGGATCTGGTGACGAAGACCGTGCTGAGCATGATATTCTAGGGCACCATTCATCCAAAAAACAGCGGGAAGACATTTCCTCAGATGATGAACAGCTAGATTCTCGCCGAGGACGTTCTAAATTAGAACGCTGGACAAGCCATAAAGAAAGAGATTTCAGTATCAACAACAAATCCTCTTCTTCGTTGAAGTTCAAAGACATTGATAAGGATAATAATAACAACAACGGTGGATCTTCTGAAGATGGGAAACCTGCGGATGATCCTGCTAAAACTGTCGATGTTAATAACCAACATCTATTGTCGGCTGAAGCAAGGGATTCTGCAGATATGGAGAATAAGGATGCTGATCCAAAAGAAATGGGAGATCGGCACCTTGATACAGTTGAGAGGTTGAAAAAGCGTAGCGAAAGGTTCAAGCTCCCTATGCCAAGTGAAAAAGAGGCCATAGTCATCAAGAAGTTAGAAAGTGAACCTCTCCCTTCTGCCAAAAGTGAAAATCCAGTAGATTCAGAAGTCAAACAAGAACGACCTGCCCGAAAAAGAAGATGGGTCACTAACTGAATAAGAAGTTTTCAGCTTGGCCTGATTTTTTTTATAATTCTAAAACCCTGCAAGCCCAGCCATGCTTAGCAGCATATCTATTGCATGTTGAAAAAGGGCATATACAGGATTTGTGACAATTTGTACTTGGAGTAATGTCATCTTGTAACCTTACTACCTATACATTCAACGTACACTGTATATATACAAGTAAATTGTAAAACATGAACTGCCAGTACAGGTGGGACATATTTTCAGTGTCCAAATATGGCTCTTACCCAGATCATCTGGGTAACAATTATTATTGGTCAACGTGACATTCAGAAACCATTGGCATGGTTGGTGGGGCATTGAGCCTGATACTGGCACCTTCCACTTCAGATCAAAAGGATCAAAGCTTTTGGAAAACGTCTTGGTGAAGGGCTACCCGAAGAGATGCATGCTGTCTGCTTCTCAAATGTGTTTTCTTAAATTGAATTAAATAGATGGCATGAATTATTTTCGTTGTTGTAGACTCTGTAGGCAAGTGTGGATTACTATTTCTTCTTCTACCTTTAAATTTTACGCGGGAATCCTTGAATATTAGCGATGAGCCTTTGTTGTATCTAGAGATCAAATGACTTACAGTTTAGAGGTTAGGAATTTCAACAAGTAATGAAAGAAAGTAAAAGCGTATATATTATCTTTTTGCTCAAATGCACATTTGGTTCTTCAAGTATGAAATCGATCTTTCCAAGTTTCGACACAGTGATGCAAATGATGATACGTGAGAAACATAAATGGCGTTAAATAGGTGAAGAAGTTGTGAAATGTACGCTTGTTTACATTAATTGGCCCAAACATAACACTATATGTATGAATTTGATGCTTGGTTTACCTAGTTTAAAATATATCTTGTGCTTTTAGTTTTCTAGAAAATAAAAGTGTTAAAATCTCTTTAGAAAATTGTTTTAAATAATCATGTTACTGGATTGATTCCAGAATTACGAACATTTAGATTCAACTGTTTTGTGATTTGTAAACACTATTGGATTTTCAATTAGGATTTGAGTTCAACATTTAGAAATAAAAAAGAATAAAAGTATTTGAAATTATGAAATGTTTTAGACAATTCAAGCTTAAAGCTTGTAACATTGTTTATTTGAAATTGGATCACATTATTGGGAATTGATAAATTGTTTCTTCACTTTGTCTAGGCTTTGTCTCCAATAATTTATATGTTTTGGTTTATTTTCTTTAGTGTAACCATGAATCTTGTTGTAATTGATTATTATAAGAGGTAATCAATTAAAATGTTCAAAAAATCTCTTAAAATAACTTTTGAAAAACCTCAATAACCTTTTCTTAAATTTATGGTGATTTATGCTATCAGAAAATAGATAGAAAAATTTCTCTACATGCATAATTCAAAGATATCAAACAAAAAAGCTATATAACACACATTAGAATTGATTATCTTCATAATAAAAACATCTTCAAGTAATGATCCTTCAAGCATTAGTCTTGATCTCGATCAATTTGATCAGCAACCTAACTTCTAAAATCTATGTAATTGAAAATACATCCAGGCCTTTTGTAATTGTTGATGAACTTTCTTAAAGTGTGCAATTGAGGCATAATGTAGAATCTTAACCTACAATTGCAATTCAACAGAAGTACACTGAAACTAAAGTATTCAACTCCATAAATTTGTGAGTTTTTGACACTACAAAAATTAAAAACAATAATTATCTTGGTGAGTAAAGAGATGTTTCTTATTTTTATACTTCTTGTAATTCTTTGGAAACTTTATCAAACATTTTCAATTTGTTAAACATTTTCAAGAGGCTCAGTACCAAGTTTTAAACTACATTTAGAATTCAGTAAGTTATAATAAAATAAAATAAAATTGAAGTAATCAATTCCTTAAATGTGTTTGTCCTTGAAACACCAAGAGATTACTAAGACAGGAGCAAAACGTTTTCTTTGGGAGCAATGAGAAGTTCGTTTTCTACATGACTGTTTCCAACTTCTAATGAATTAGGACTAACACAAAAATAGGTTTTCATGTCTCCAAATTTAAGTCCGAAATAAGCAGTGACATTATTATAAAATTTAGAGTTATTTTGGAGTTTGATTTGCTTACTTACATACGAGTTAGTCCTCCATGTTTTCTTAACTTCAACCTTATAGCTGAAATAACATCATCAAAATATTCACACACCAAAGTTTATGTACAGATCAGAGAGCAACCAAACACACACATCCATGCTATAGAGGGATTCAATCTATCAGAATACACTATACATGAAATTCAAATTTAAACGTGTATATATATATATATATATATATATATATATATATATAAAGTCTATTTGCCAAAAAGAGATTTGATCCACCAAATGCCTTTGTTGTCATGGGATCCTTCTTCTGCCTCTGGTGGCGGATCACTCTGTGGAGTCTTCTGGAGTTTGCTCACATCATATCCTTCTGAAATAGCTTTCTCAACAAGTTGATTGTAGATAGCATCATCCATATTGGTTTCTCTGCATAAAATCTACCATTCATAATTCACCAACGTTAGCTCACCAAAATCAAATTAACACAAACCTTTTTAAACTAACCTCAACACCATTAGTAACACATAACTTTCAACTTATCACTATCAGTTTTGCAGTAACATTCTGAATTGGTAAAGCTTCAAAACAAGAATACGCTATTTCCCATTCTTCTAATATTTATCTAAAGATAAAAAACATAAATCTGTGACGAAACTTTATCCTCATTGTTTGTCTTTCAAATACAAAACCACCTTTTAAGCACAAAACCCTCTGTCATAAAAGTATATATTCATTCTCCTTTTGACTAATACTGTCCAATATTAAACACATTTTTTTCTTCCTAATATGGATTTTGAAGAAACTAGTTTCCAAGCAAATCATGGAAAAAAAAGAGGTCGATGAACATTATCCTTTTCGCTTTTACATTTGAAGATCAGCCTAAGATCATCACAATAACCACAAAAAAATAATATAGAAACTTCAAATCTAAAGAAAAATCACAGGAGTTTTGTAAAGTTAAATACAAACTTAAAATGATTCATACCATCAACTTAATATAGTTACTAACACCATATGACGATATATAATTTTCGATCAGCAGAACACAGTAGAAAAACAGAGACAACAAAAAATAAATAGCAACAGAAGTTAAATAGGTTTACTTACCCAAAGGCATTTCCTGCTTGGTTGGCCGATCAAAGCATACTGATAATCGTCATCAAGGAAGAGGACCCAGTAGTCCCCAACGACAGGGATGATGGGCAAGAAAGGTGGAACATAAAATTTTACCCTTAACTTGGCTTCATCAGATTTTGGGTCTGCCTTGTAAGCAGTACCCTCTATGTAGCCTCTCTTTCCACCACTCCATGTCTCGTTCAGCACATGCACAGTACCATCTTCGTTAAGGGTATATGTGGCTCTGCTGTTCTCACCATCCTTTGGCTGAAAACGCGAAGGGAATGAGGCAATCTCATACCATCGACCCATGTACCTTTTCAAGTCCACACCCTTCACAACTTCCATCTCTTCCTTCGCCATTACCACCTTGAACTGGGAAATGACACAACTCACAGATTAAACAAACGATGATCTTCTGGGTACTCTCAAGTTGTGGCCTTTTATGAAGTTTCTAATGAGTGTGTCTATGCATATATACAACTTAGGAAACTTGTTTAACAATTCTAGAATAAGCCTACACATAATATCTATAATTATTGTAGTGGCTATGATTGAATCACTTCTTATATAAGTATTTTTAGGAAAAAATAAGACGTTAATCATGGTAACTTTAATTGGTAGTTAATGTTGTCTATGGAAATTTTGTTTAAATTTTATGAATTTATATGTCACAATTTAAAATATTTATTTTTGTCTCTCATGTATGATGCCATCGACTGTATTAGAAGCTTATTTAGAACAGTTTAAGGTGAAAATTTGACATCATAGATATTAATTTTGTTTAAATAATAATATTTATCACTATTATGTTATTTAAAGTGTGTGTAAACAAAAGACTTTGCTAACTAAATTGTGGGTTTCAAATTTATGTCCTTTTTTTTTCTTTTATAGTGTCTATTTGGAATCTTGGAAAATACAGCCTCTTTGAATTTTGTGGTAATATTCAAAAGTAGGCACGTGTAACCTTAACTTTTATTTTGAAATGCTTATTTTCATTTTAAAATAAATTTTCATTTAATTAAACTAGACCTTAACATTATAAATTGGCTTTTAAAATTATATCAGTATGTATAGACATCAACAAAAAAAAAACAAATGGTTAAGAGGTTAGTTTTTTTTTTTAAATATAAAAGAATAAATTAGATGAATTTATTTCTAAGAATATAGATTAGCAAATAATGACAGAAAAAGTAGATATTTTCTTGTCTGTAGACCACATTTTTTATATAATAAACAAAGGAATGGGCTAAGAAAGTCGTGGAAGTGTTTGGACCACGTATTCCATCACATAGAACTTTCTAGTATTCTCAAAGCCTTCCTTCTCTCTTTCAATTATTTCTGCTCTTTATTAATTTTAAATCCTGTAATTGTTTTCTTTTCCATTTTAAGAAAAAAAAAGTCAAGAGTGTTTTTCTA